CTTATTTTGCCCTTTGCACATCGGTGGCTGTGTGGCTCTGCAGCTGCCACACTCCGAGGCGAGGGCACGGCCGAGTACCCGCCGCACGTGCCCAGGCTCCAGAAGGGGTTTCGAATGTGTATCTCCTTCTCTCCGATCCATCATTGCCGGTCTGCTTCCTTAAGTCCGCCTTCTCCACCCACCTCGCACTTCCACCCCTTCGGCGGCGCCTACAGGGGGGCCTTTTTAGAAGGCAGGGGTCTACGTAGCACCCCGCAATTGCGGATAAGAGTGAGGGGGTGGGCGCGGGCGACGCGGGCGTCGTCGAGCCGGCGGACCTCGTGGCCCCCACCTTCCTTGTCGATGGCGCTCTCCTCCTCCTCCTCCTCCTCCTCCTCCTCCTCCTCCTCCTCCTCCTCATCCTCGTCCTCGTCCTTGTCCTCATCGTCATCGTCATCCTCCTCCTCCACCTCGTCCTCCTCCTCCTCCTCCTCTTCTTCCTCGTCCTCCCTCTCCCCCCCTCGTCCTTTCATCATCGTCCTCCCATTGTCGTCCTCCCCCTCATCGGCCTCCATCATCGTCCTCCCATTGTCGTCCATCATCATCATCCTCCCCCTCCTCCCCCTCCTCGTCCTCCTCCTCCCCCTCCTCCCCCTCCTCGTCCTCCTGCTCCTCCTCCTCCTCTTTCTCCACATTCTCCTTACATCCTCTCTTCTTCCGCGTCCTCCTCGTCCCCTGTTTACTCCTCCTGCCTCCCCCTCCTTTCCCAAGATAACGGCAACGCAATCCTTTTTTCCACTTTATGCTCCCCGACTTCTCTGATCAAGGCAACTCGCCAGGGCAAAGTTGCTGGACGGGCTGGTGTGGATGCGCGGGGCTTGAAGAGGTCCTTGCGGGCTCAGACGGCATGCAAAAATCCGCCGCCGCGCTTGTGCGGCATTGGTTTGTTCAGTGAACGTGGTTTGGGTCGCGGGTGGGTCGCGGGCTTTCCACCTCCACCTGGAAGGAATGCAAAAGCAGCCCGCCGCAGGCGCCAACAAACATTGGTTTGTACACTGAACGTGGTTTGGGTCGCGGGTGGGCCGCGGGTTCTCCACCGGGATCGAATGCAAAAGATGCCCGCCGCAGGCGCCGAAACATTTGGTGTGTACCCCGCACGTGGTCGCGGGTGGGCCGCGGGCTCTCCACTTGAAACGACTGCAACAGATGCCCGCCGCAGGCGCCGAAAAATGTGGTTTGAACCCTGAACGTGGTTTGGGTCGCGGGTTGGTCGCAAGTTGGTCGCGGGCTCTCCACCTGGAAGGAATGCAAAAAGCCAGCCGCAGGCGCCGAAAATGGTGGCTTGTACCTTGAACGTGTTTTGGGTCGAAGGTGGGTCGCGGGTGGGTCGCGGGGTGGGTCGCAGGTGGGTCGCGGGTGGGTCGCGGGTGGGTGTGGTCGCGGGTGGGTCGCGGTCGCGGGTGGCCGCGGGCGTCGCGGGGTGGGTCGCGGGTGGGTCGCGGGGTGGGTCGCGGGGTGGGTCGCGGGGTGGGTCGCGGGGTGGGTCGCGGGTGGGTCGCGGGTGGGTCGCGGGTGGGTCGCGGGGTGGGTCGCGGGTTGGGTCGCGGGTGGGTCGCGGGGTGGGTCGCGGGTGGGGCGACGACAACAAACAACAATATCAACAACAAACAACAACAAGAAACAACAACAACACGAATCCGCACCGCGGAATCCCACTTCAGCCACACACCCAGGGACAGTGAATGACCGTTCGGCCCCCTCACTCTGACTTAGAAATGTTGGAAGATTTCGAACGAGGCCTCTTAGAAGCCAGCCCCGCCTTCCTGAAAAAACGCCACGCCCCGCGCCTCCCACTTGTGGGCGCCGCCAACCAGTGTATGCTGCGCACCATGCGTAGTCCCCGCAGTGTCGGATGAGAGTGAGCGGGGGAGGGTTGTCGGCACTCTGTGGAGCTTAACAACACATGTGAAAAAAAGGCACGCCGCAGGCGCCGATTTTGTTACACATTATGTGGCGAGCCCGCCGCAGGCGCCCGCGGGATGGATCACGAGGCGGGTCGTGTGTGGGTCGCAGGGAGGGTCGCGGGGATTTCGAGGGCGAATCGCGGTGGTGATTCGCAGGTGTGCCGCGGGATTTCGCGGGTGTGGCGCGGGTGGGTTGCGGGACGGGTGGGTCGCGGGGACGGGTCGCGGGGGCAGGTCGCAGGGGCGGGTCGCGAGGGCAGGTCGCAGTGGCGGCTCGCGGGGGCGGTTTGCAGGGGCGGGTCGACGGATGGGTCGAGGGTGGGCCGCGGGTGGGTCGCGGGTGGGTCTTGTGGCGGGTCGAGGGTAGGTCGCGGGGCGGGGCGCGGGGCGGGTCGTCGGGTTGGCCGCTGGGGCGATTCGCGGGCGGGTCGCGGGTGGATCGCGGGGCGGGCCCCGCAACAAAAAGACCAAGAAAAACATGAACCCACACCGCGGCGGAAAAGGCGTTCCAGCATAGGTGTGGAAAAGAGTAAAGGGACGGGAAGGGTCGCCCGCAGTCTGCGAGACTTGGAACCAAGTTTGAAGAAGCCCGCCGCAGGCGCTTAATTCCTACACGCTACACAACGAGTCCGCCGCAGGCGCCGACTTGCCATCACCGCAATTCTGATGGGTCGCGGGTGGTTGGGTGGGTCGCGGGTGGGCCGCGGGGTGCGGCGATGGTGGGTCGAGGGCGCGGGTGCGAATCGCGGGTGGGCCGCGGGATGGGGCCAGCAACAAGAGGAGGAAAAACATGAACCCACACCGCCGCGGAACGGCACTGCAGCCGCACATCCAGGGACAGTGTAAGACCGGTATCCAGATCAGAGTAATGTGGCATGGAGGATTTTTCGCAGTCTGCGAGGCTTGAACGGAAATTCGAAGAAACCCGCCGCAGGCGCTTACTTTCTACACCACTGGCGCCGACTTGCCATCACCGCACTGCGGGTGGGTCGCGGGTAGTTGGGTGGGTCGCGGGTGAGTCGCTGGTGGGTCGCGGGGTGGGTCGTCGAGTGGGTCGCGTGTGGGTCGCGAGGGCGAATCGCGGGTGGATCGCGGGGTTGGCAACAATAGGAAGAACATGCACCCGCGCCGCCGCGGAACGGCATTTCAACCACACGTCGAGGGACAGTGTAAGACCAGCCTGCTCCTTCTGATTACCATTGCCCCGGCAGATGCGGATAAGAGTGACGAGGCTGGGAGGAATCGTCGACAGTCTGCGAGGCTCGAGAGCAAAGTTGATGATACCCACGGATGGGTCGCGGGTGGATCACGGGCGGGTCGCTGGCGAAGACGATGACAACACCACAACAGCACAACAGCAAGTGTCCGACCACTTCAGCCACGCATCCAGGGACAGTGTAAGACCGTTCGGCTTCATTACCCTGACATAGCCCCTTAGTTGTGGATAAGAGTGGGGAGGCGGGGGGATCGCCGTGCTATTTGCACGAGGCTTTGAAACAAATGGGAAGAGACACGTCAGCAGGCGCCGACCCTTTCAACACATTGCACGACGAGTCCGCCGCAGGTGCCGAACTTTTGTCGAAGCATTGTGGATGGGCCGTGAGTGGGTCGCGGAGCGGATCGCGGGGCGGGTCGAAGGTGGGGCAAGGGTAGGACGCCGGGTGGGTCGAGGGTGGGTCGTGGGGCGGGTCGCGGGTGGGGCACGGGTGGGTCGTGGGTCGGTCGCGGGGTGGTTCGAGAGTGGCTCGCGGGGCGGGTCGTAGGTGGGTCGCGGACGGGGCGCGGGTGGGTCGTGGGGGCGAGTCGACGGACGGGCCACGAGTGGGTCGCGGGTGAGTCGCGGGTGGGTCGCGTGGCGGGTCGAGGGTGGGTCGCTTAGCGGGTCGCGGGTGGGTCGTGGGGGCGGGTCGTGGGTGGTTCGCGGAGCGGGGTTGGCAACAAGTACAAAACGTATTCGATCCACACCGCCGCGGAACGGCCCTTCGGACACGCATCCAGGGACAGTGTAAGACCGTTCGGACCGCCCACGCTGATAAGAGGGATAAAACATGTGAGGAGGGGAGAGGAGGGTGGGAGTCGTCTGGGCAGAGTGTTGAGGAGGGGCGATGCTGACTTGGTGCCGCTGCAGCCAGGTTGCCACGCTTCTCTTTGTATCGCGCTCAGGGGCTGCCCAAGGGTGTCTTGCTCGTGCTGCGCAGAGGGTTGCGTCGGCCGGACTTCTGGACGTTCGGGCCCTGGCTTGGCTCCTCGTGGAAGCCTGTGCGCCTGCACTCCGTCACGTTTTTTGTATAGTCTGTTTTGTGGGTAGACTGCAGGTTCAGCGTAGGGAAGCGGGGGCTTTGCCTTTGCCATTTTGGGTCCGTAGTCGTTGGCTCGAGATCGAGCCAGGACTCGTGGGCTCCGGGGGGCCGCGGGGCGGCCAAAACCGCAGCGTCCTGCACCGCCAGCTCTGGGAGCGGGTGTGCGGACGTGGCCGGCGCCACCAGCCTTGTGGCGGGCGCGCGGGCCAGCGGTGCCATGGCCGTGGGCTTCCTCGGGGCGCATGCCGTGATCTTGGCGGTTAGTGGGGCGTTCTCGGCCCAAGGGGCGATGGGTTGGTGGCTTCTTTGCCGCGCGGGGGACGCAATGTCCCCAGCGCCGGCGCCGCCATCTCAGCCCGGGCCGAAACCCCGGCCCGCGGGCGGCGGGGGGCATGGCAAGGGGCGAGCTCCGCCCGCCAAGCCTGCGCCTGCGGGAAGGAAGGGGCGAGGGCCGCCGGCCAAACCTCCTGGGGTCACCACTACCGCAACCACGACGACGACCACGCCGCCGACGACTACGACGACACCCTCGCAGCCTGGCCCGGGCCGCGAGCGCGGGGGCGAACCCGCAGTTAGCCCAGCCGCGGCCTGGCCCGCAGGCCCCATTTCCACTACGACTGGCGTCGGCCGCACGCGCGGGAGCGGACCTTCGGGTAGCCCAGCCGCGGCCGAGCCAGCGGGCGGGTCGGGTGCCAAGGGCGGTCCCAGTAGGGAAGAGCCACGCACCCCGCCCACGCATCCTGGGAGACCCGGCGAGGCATCAGGCCAGCCGACGGGGTCCCCGGGCACCTACGGGCCCGGCGAGGCAGCGCTGAGCTTCGACCCGCTGCGCTTTAGCTGCCTGGTTGCTGGCTGGTTGGCCTGCTGCGCGTTGGGAGCAGAGTGCCGACATCGCCGCATGGAGGCTGAGCTGGCCGAGAAAGGCACCAACCTGCAGCTTTGGGCGACCGAGGCGCTCGACGCCGGGGAGAAGCTGGCCGAGGCCCGGTCGCGGTGCACTGCTCTGGAGGCCGCGCGGTCTCGCGCCGCCGAGGAAGCCGAAGCGTGGCGCCAGGCGTGTGCGAAGGAGGCGACTCGCCGGCAGGAGGCGGCACGGCGACAGAGGATGGCCGAGAGGCTCGCCCAAGGGAGGAGCCAGGCGTGCGAGTACGAGCGGGCGCGCAGATTCCGTGCCGAGGAGGCCTTGGCGGGGAGCCGCGCGGACGTCGACGTGGACAACTCGTGGGCGTGGATCGACGGCCTGTTGGCATGGATCGACCGCCTGACGACCCACCTCGAGCTGGGGGCCACGATCGCTGAGAACCTGCAGGCCCGCGTCGACGAGCTCGAGGCTGCCGCAGAGACGGGGGGCGAGGCAGGAGTAGGTACCGCGGACTTCGTCACGGAGCCACGCGCCGCTGGGGACGTTGAGACCGAGCGGGCGGTCCCGCCGCCCTCGCGCGAGCCCGGCGGGGTCGCTACGACCGAGGGGGCCAGCGGCAGAGGAGGAAGAGGAGTAGGCGGCGGAGGCGAAGGAGCGGCGAGGGAGGAGGCCTTTCCGAGAGCGAGGATGAGGAGGCGGGGGAGGATGAGGAGGACCACTATCCAGAGGGAGCTCATTCCCGAGGAGCCCGAGGAGACCAGCCTCGGGGAGCATCGCGCCCTGGGCGACTCCGCGGCTGCCTCGGGCCTGGCGCCGGGAGCGGGCGACGACGGCGACGACGACGCGGGGGTGCCGGGAGGGTCAGAGGTCAAACTGGTCCGCGCCCGCGAGGACGTCCACGGCGCCCGGTTGCCGGCGGGTTGTTGGGGCTCCGTTGGCGCCAACGCCCGCGCCGTCGCCGAGGCCCGCGCCGGTGCCAGCATCGGCGCCCGTGCCCCCGCCGACTCTGACACCAGGGAGTACCGCAGGGGGGGAGCGCGCATGGGGTCGTGGACAGGCGCGGACGTGGAGCTCGGCGCTGTGCACCTGGACGACGCCGGCGCCGACGACCGCACCGACACCTACGCCTCCGCCGTCGCCCGCGCTGGCCCCGTCGCCTGCGCCAGCGCCCGCGCCGACGCCGGCGCCATTTGCGACGCGCCCGCTGACGCCGGCGGCCGCGACTTCGACGCCTCCGCCGGCGCCGGCGCTTTCGCCGCCGCCGCCGCGAGCGGCGACGCCGATGCCGGAGCTGGCGCATATCGCAACGCGGCGCCTCCGCCGCCGGCTCCGGATCTTTGGCGCGGCGCTGGCCCCGAGCTGGAAGCGCGGCTGCGCCGGCGCGCCCTGCCCCTCGAGGGGGCCGGAGGCGCGCTCACGGGGCACCGCTCTGAGCGGGCAACTGCGGAGGCGGCGGGGCGGGCGCTACCGGAGGCCAAACAGCACTGGTTGACGGTTGTGCCCGAGACCTGGGAGGTCGCGCCGATGGATCGCGAGGAGTCCCCACGAGAAGCCCCGGGGGCCCTGGAGCTGGGGCAGCCGCTGCTGGATGAGGCTCGCCGCCACCGCGCCGCGGGCGTGAGCGTCGCCGAGGACTCGAGGAGGGCCGCGGGGTCGGACGGGGCCGAGACGGTCGTGGAGGCCGACGAGGTTTGTGACCTGGACTGGGCCAGGCTCGGCGCCGCGGGCCCCGAAGAGGGCCCCGTTCCCAGCATTGACGCCACCACCGTCGTCGACCCCGTCGCCACCGCCTGCGCCATCGTCAGCGCCGACGCCAACGCCGACGCTGACATCGACGCCGATACACTGGCTGGCACCGGGGCCGCCTCCTGCGACGCTAGCGCCAACGCCCCCAATGTCTCCGCCTACACCGACTACAACGCCAGCGACGACGCCAGCGCGGACGCCTACGCCGAGGCCGCCGCCGAGCCCGACGCCGGCGACCGCGCCCCCGGCTCCGGCGCCTATGAGGACGTTGCCGCTTCCGCGGCCGCCAGCGCAGGCGCCAGCGCCCACGCTCCCAACGTCACCGCCGACGCCGGCGTCAACGCCCTCGGTTGCGAGGCCCGCGTGGGCGCCGCCGCCCACCCGGCGGCGAGCGCAGGCGCCAGCATCGACGCTATCGCCCTCACCCGCTCGGAGGCCGGCGAGGTCTGGGCCGCGCGTTGGTCCAGACCTGGCGCCAGGGGCTCCGACGTGGGACTCGGCACCCGCACCGACGCCAGCGTTCAGGTCGGCTCCAGCATAACGGCCTACGCCAACGTCAGCGCCAGCACCGACGTCCGCGCTAACGCCGACGCCTCCGATGCCGATGCGGGCGTTGCCGCCGCCGCGACCGCCAACGCCGCGACCGGCGCCGACGCGTGCACCACCGCCAGCCCCGACGCCGGCGCCTTTGCCAGCACGGACGGCGAGGTCTGGGACTTAGAGTGGCTCCGGCTCGGCGCTGACGCGGGCCCCGCTACCGGCATCGGCGTCAACGCAGACGTCGTCAGCGGCGTCACCGCCTACGCCGAAACCAACGCCGCCGCCGACCCCAGCGGCGGCCCCGACGACGCCGCGACGGCCGGCGTCAGCAGCGATGCCATCGCAGGGATCGGGGCCGACGCCGACGCCGACAGGGACGTCTGCACGGGCACCGGCGCCCGCGCCGCCGCCGGCGTCGACGCTGGCCCCAACGTCAGCGACCGCGTCACCAGCACCACGCTTCCGCACGCGCGCGCTTGGCTCCGCAGGCTCCGTGCCGCTCACGCGGGCTTCCTCGCGCGCGCGCGCTGCCCGTTCGGCTTTCTGTCGCGCTTAGCGCGACGCGCGCGTCTCGGGCTCTTCGCGGCTTCGCGCCGGCGGGCCGGCGCCGCGCGATCGGGGCACGTTGGCCCCCTGCCTAAGCGAGGCCGTGGGGGCCAGCTCGGGCGTGAGCCGCGCGCTGCCGGCGGGGCTTGCCCAGCCGGGGTGCCGCAACTGCCCTCGCCGCCACCGCCGCGGGCCACTCCGTGCCTGCCGAATCGCGAGGACTGCCGCGCGGGCGACTCCACCTCCGCCACTGCTGACGCCAGCGCCGACGTCGACGCCAACGCCGCCGCCTGCTCCGATAGCGACGGCAGCGCCGACGCTGACGCGGGCGCCTACGCCGACGCTGAAACCTTCGCGGAGACCGACACCGACGCCGGCATCGACGTGACCGTCTACACTGGGACCAGCGCCTGCGCCGCCGACGGCGCCCGCGCTGGCACTGGTGCCCGTGCCCACGCCGGCGCCGCCACCAGCCGCAGCGCCAGCGACAGCGCCACCGGCGCCGACGTCGCGGTCGCGGGCGTGGTCGCGCACCAGGGCACGCACCATGGGGTGCACGCTGCTCAGTTCCGCTTCTTAGCTGGCGCGCAGTGGAGGTTCGTCCCCGCCCGGGTCCAGCCGGGCGGGGTGTCCATCACGGGTGCCCATTCTAGGCTCGTCGAAATCGGCCAGGACGTGCAGCCGAAGGCCGACGCCGCCCTTGTCCAGCAGGCCGTAGGACCTGGGACGGCTGTTCCGGCCAAGCTCGACTCCATCGTGCAGGACGTGCCGCGGAAAGCCGACCTTGCGGACTCCGACGCCAGCGCCCGCGCCGGCGCCGCCGCGAGAGTCGGCGTCAGCACCGATGCCAGCGCAGGGGCTGGGACCAACGCCGACGCCGACAGGGACGTCGGCACGGGCACCGGCGCCCATGCCGCCGCTGGCGCCGACGCTGGCCCCAACGTCGGCGACTGCACCACCGGCTACGCGCTCCCGCACGCTCGGGCTTGGCCCCGCAGGCGCCGTGCAGCTCGCGCGGGCGTTCTCGCGTGCGCGCGCTGCCAGTTCTGCTTTCCGTCGCGGCAAGCGTGGCGCGCGCGTCTCGCGCCCATCGCGGGCGCGGTTTCGCGCCTTGGGCCGGCGCCGCGCGGCTGGGTCGCGTTTGCCCCCCCGCCTGAGCGAGGCCGTGGAGGCCAGCTCAGGCGCGCGCTGCACGCTGCCGGCAGGGCCTGCCCAGCCGGGGCGTCGCAGTTGCCCTCGCCGCCGCCGCTGCAGGCCGCTCCGCGCCTGCCGAGCTGCGAGGGCTGCCGCGAGGGCGACTCCGCCTCCGCCACCGCGGACGCCAGCGCCGACGTCGACGGCCCGTGGAGGGCCGCGGGGACGGACAGGGCCGAGACGGATGTGGAGGCCGACGAGGTTTGGGACATGGACTGGGCCGGGCTCGGCGCCGCGGGCCCCGACGGGGGCCCCGCTCCCAGCGCCGACGCCGCCACCGTCGTCGACACCGTCGTCACCGCCTGCGCCAACATCAGCGCCTCCTACGACGCCAGCGCCGACGCCCCCAACGTCCCCGCCTACACCGACATCAACGCCGGCGACGGCGCCAGCGCCGACGCCGACGCCCGCGCCGCCGCTCCCAGCGTCACCGCCGATGTCGGCATCAGCGCCCTCGGGTCCAGGGCTCGCACGGGCGCCGTCGCCTACTCGGCTGCCAGCGCAGGCGCCAGCCCCGGCGCTATCGCCCACGCCGAGGTCTGGGCCAGCGAGGTTTGGGCCATGGGTTGGTCCAGGCTTGGCACCGGTTTTTCCGTCGTGGGATCCGGCACTGGTGCCGACGCCAGCGTTAAGGTCGGCCCCAGCATCCCGGCCTGCGCCAACATCAGCACCAACACCGACGCCCGCGCCGAAGCCGGCGCCTCCGATGCCGCTGCAGGCGCTGTCGGGGACGCCGCCTACGCCGAAATCAACGCCAGCCCCGATGCCAGCGCCGGCGCCGACGCCGCCGCGAGAGCCGGCGTCAGCATCGATACCAGCGCGGGGGCTGGGTTTAACGCCGGCGCCGACAGAGATCTCAGCACGGGCATTGGCCGCGCAGCAAGTGCGGGCGTTCTTGCGCGCACGCGCTGCCAGTTCCATTTTCGGTCACGCTTAGCGCGCGACGCGAGATTGGCGCCCTTCGCTGGCGCGGCTTCGCGCCGGCGGGCCGGCGCCGTGCGGCTGGGTCGCGTTTGCCCCCTGCCTGAGCGAGGCCGGGGAGGCCAGCTCAGGCGCGCGCCGCACGTTGCCGGCGGGGCTGGCCCAGCCTGGGCGTCGCTGCGGCCCTCGCCGCCACCGCTGCATGCCGCTCCGCGCCTGCCCAGTTGCGGGGATTGCCGCGAGGGCGACCCCGCCTCCGCCACCGCCGACGTCGACGCCGACGGCGCCGCCTATGCCGACAGCGACGCCAGCGCCGACGCTGACGCAGGCGCCTGCGCCGACGCCAAGACCAGTGCAGAGACCAGCACCGACGCCGACGTCGGCACGACCGTCTACACTGACGGCGCCCGCACCGCCGACAACGCCCGCGCTGGCACTGGCGCCCGCGCCTCCGCCAGCGCCACCGCCTGTCCCGGCGCCAGCGACGGCGCCCCCGACGCCGACGGCGCGACCGTGGGCGTAGTCGCACACCGAGGCACGCACCACGAGGCGGGCGTCGCTCGGCGCAGCTTCGTGGCTGCCCGTACCGCCCAGCTGGCGTTGGTCATGCCGGCGGGGCTTAGCCGCGAGGGTACGAGCCTGAGGGGCGACGTTCCGGCGGCTGGGTTACCGGTGGCGGAGGACCTCACCGTTCGCATACCCTCGGGTCACGTGGAGGATTGCGCGCGCGCCCTGGCGAGGCGTGGAGCCGGGCCCTCTGTCAAGGGCACGCAGGTGCTCGGCAGCACGCGGGTGCCGACAGGCACGCTGACGCCCATCAGCGCGCTCGCATTCCGAAGCGCGCCTGGGCTTTGCAGCACGCCAGTATTCGAGAGCGTGCTCCAGCCCAAGTTCGAGGGCATGGCCAGGCTCAACGGCAGACCCCATGGACTGTGTTGTGATTGGATCGGCCGGGGGGCACCCCCTACCACGTCCTTTTCGTCCTTTTCGGGACCATCGGCGGACCCGAAGGAGGAGGCGTGCCGGGGTGGCTCAAAAGCGACCCGATGCGCGCCAAGACTCGGCATCGGGAGGCGACGGCGGGCGGGCAGCGGCTGCAATGGCACCTACAGCGGCGCCTCGACCCGATGCGCGCCAAGACTCGGCATCGGGAGGCGACGGCGGGCGGGCAGCGGCTGTAATGGCACCTACAGCGGCGCCTACCGCGGCGCCGACGGCCGCGCTGGCTACGGGCGCGTCGACGGCTTCACCGACAGCGGCGCCGGCCGCATCGACGGCTTCACCTACAGCGGCGGCGACGGCGCCAGTCGCGCCAACCGTGGCACTGACGGCTGCGCCGATAACATCACCGACAGTGGGGGCGGCCGCGCCGAGGACATCACCGACTGCGGCGCCGCCAGAGCCAACAGCCGCACCAGCCGTTGCGCCGCCAGCGGCGTCGAGGGCGGCACTGATCGGCGCCCCGACAGCCACGCCCACGGCAGCGCCGACGGCGGCGCCCTTTGCCGTTCCGACAACTGCGGCACCGATAGCTTCGCCGACAGCAGCCCCAACAGCCTCGGCAGCGTCGACGGCGGCACTGACTGCCGCCCCGACAGCTGCGGCCCCAACAGCCACTCAGGCGGCACCGGCTGCCGCTCCGACGGCTGCGGGGTCCATTGCCGCACCGGCCGTTGCGCCGTCAGCGGCGTCGAGGGCGGCACCGATTGGCGCCCCGACCGCGGCGCCGACAGCACCGCAGGCAGCGGCGCCGACGGTTTCACCGAGAGCGGCGCCGACGGCCCCAATAGTCGCTCCGACAGCTGCGTCGTCGGCGGCGTCGGCGGCAGCACCCGCCGCCGCTCCGACAACGGCGGCCCCGACGGCCCCGCTGGCGGCTGGGCCGGCGGCGGCGCCGACTGCCGACCCGACGGCTGCGGCACTGACAGCCTGGCCGACGGCTGCGCTACTAGCCCTGGCGGCGTCGACGGCAGCACCTACTGCCGTTCCGGCGGCTGCGGCCCCGACAGCCACGCTGGCGGCTGCGCCTCCAGTTGTGTCGGCTGCCACCCCGACTGCGGCGTCGACGGCTTCGCCGACAGCTGCGCTGCCGCCGGCCGCATCGACGGCCCCGCCGACGGCTGCGCCGACGGCGGCGCCGACAGCCGCCCCGCCCGCGGCGCTTGCGGCCACACCTGCAGGGGCGCCGGCGGCATCACCGACAGCAGCGCCGACGGCGCCGACAGCATCGACGATAGCATCGACGACAGCTGCGCCAACGCCCGCACCTGCAGCTTCGCCGGCGGCCCCGCTAACTGCAGCACCGACACCCGCGCCGTCCGTGGCACCGTCAGCCTCGCCGACAGCTGCGCCGACTGCATCACCGACAGCTGCGCCGACACCCGTGCCCACGGCTTCACCGTCAGTGACGCTGTCAGTTACGTCACCCAGGGCACCGACCACGCTTCCGAGGACGTGGCGCACGCGTGCGCCCTGGTGCCCAGCATCGCGCCGACGCGGGGCGGGAAGCCCACCGCGGCGGTCCCGCCCAGCGCGGCGCGACACCCCCCCGTCGGCCTCGACAACGGCGGCGCCAACCGCGGCGTCGACGGCGGCATCGACCGCGGCACTGGTCTTGCCTTCGATGTCTCGGTTAGGACCCCAAGCGTGCCCGGCGTGGTCCCCGAGGCCGTAGCGGCCAGCATCATCGCCAACATCGACGGCGGCGCTGACACCGGTACCCGCTCTGGCACGCACGTCGACGCGAAGGCCTTGCTCTTCTTGGGCAGGCCGGTGCCGGGTGTGGTCGCGCTCAGGGACATGCATGGACCCTGGAGCGCCCGGGCGCTCCCCGACATGCGGGGCCCCTTTTGCACCCGGGCGCTCTCGCTAGACAGCGCGCCGGTGTTCATGCGCGCCCCGATGCTCGTGCTCGATGGCTTTCAAACCAGGTGTAGTGGCCGCGTGGGAACCTCTCGGCAAGCTGCAGGGGCTGGTTCGAGTTCCCGCAATCCCCGCTTACGTTGCCGACGATGCAGCCACCGCAATGGACTACTTCATCTTGAGTCGCCTGCTGGGCAATCGCTGCCGACCTCTGTGTCCACCGACCCACTGGCAGGGAAGTCCATTCATTTTCAGAAAAATCCTGGACTTGCCGGGGGGTGTCCCGGCCCAGGCCCAGCAGGCTTCTCCTTCAGCTCGACCTCGGGCGGCAGACCCAAGCCAGGCACTTCGATCATCTCGACCTCCTTGTTCGACTGCCTGCCGGTCGCAGCGCGTCTACACCTACCTGATCACGCGTCCCCTGGCACGCCCAACCTCGGCGGCCGTGGGCTAGCGTGCGTACCTGGCCGAGACGGCTCTGGAGATTTTGGCTTGGATCGCGGTGGAAAGGGCTCGACTTGGCCCATTTGCGAGGGGATCAGCTCGAGGAGCGGAACCCCAGCTGCAGGTCTGCCCCTGATCTACTGCGGGCGGGGGCTCACAGGCGCGCCGGTGCTCGACGGGGCACGCGTGCTTGGTGGCGGGGCTGTGCCCCCCGGCGCGCTGGGACGCAGGGGCGCGCTCGCGTCCACACGCGCGCTCCTACTCCTCGGCTCGCCCGAGGTGCAGATCATGCTGGTGTTCGACGGCATGCAGGTGCTCCTGGGCTTACCGGTGTCCCACGGCGCCTTGGCGCTCCTGGACATGATGGGCGTGCCCCGCCGTGTGCTGGTACTCCCAGTGCGGTCGTGCTTGAAAGAGGCGTTCTCTGATTGGGTCATCCACGACAACCCACCGTCTGCTGCGGGCCCTGGCCCAGCCGGGCCTGTCCGCGGGGGGACCAGCCTTAGGGGCGAGGTTCACGCGGGAGGGGCGTTGCTGGTTGAGGGCCAGGGCACCGCTGGGTCAAGCCGCGTGGGGACCAGCCTCAGGGGCGAAGTGCCAGCGGCGACCCTGCCCGGCTTGGTGCGACTTTCGGCCGACAGCCTCGCCGATAGTGGCGCCAACAGCGGCGCCTGCGGCGGCATCGACGACGGCGCCGACAGCCACGCCCACAGCAGCGTCGACAGCGTCACCGACGGCCGCATTGAGGGCCGCACCACCAGTTTCGCCGCGCTCTGCGTCAACCGCGGCCTCGACTGCCCAGCGAGGCCGACGGCGACCGTAGAGGGTAGCGACTGCCACGTCGGCGGCTGCGCCTCCAGTGACGTCGGTTGCTGCCCCGACTGCGGCGTCGACAGTTTCGCCGACAGCTGCGCTGCCGCCGGCTGCACCGACGGCCCCGCCGACGGCTGCGCCGACGGCGGCGCCGACAGCCGCCCCGACCGCGGCGGTTGCAGCTACACCTGCAGGGGCGCCGACGGCATCACCGACAGCGGCGCCGACGGCACCGACAGCCTCTCCGACAACTGCGGCACCGGCGCCAGACCCGCCAGTGGCAACGACTGCCGCGCGTACAGCGGCGCCGACGGCGTTACTGACGGCGACGGCTACAACGACAGGTACGCCCACCGCGGGACCGACAGCTTTGCCCACATCAGCTCCGGCAGCGGCGCCGTCTGCGACAAGACGGGCATCTGGTACAGTCCGATGGGCGAGCACTCGGCCTTCATGTTTGCGATGTACGATCCGATAGGGGATCAACCGGCCTCCATGGTCACGGCCGCGGCGACGTGCGACGGCCTCACCGACCACCTCGTCGACAGCCGCACCAGCAGCTGCGCCGACGCTGGCGTCAGCAGCCCCGCCGGCTGCGGCGCGGACAGCCGCGCCAACCGTTGCCCCGACAGCATCGCCGACAGCTGCGCTGGCGGTATCGCCGACAGCTGCACCGACGCCCGCACCTACAGCTCCGCCGGCGGCTCTGCCAACTGCAGCACCGACACCCGCGCAGTCTGCAGCGCCTGCAGCCTCGCCGACCGCTGCGCCGACTGCATCGCCGACAGCCGCACCGACACCCGCGCCCACGGCTGCACCGCCAGCACCGCCAACGGCGGCACCGACGCCCGCGATTGCTGCGGCACCGGCAGCCGCCGCGCCGATAGCGGCGCCGACGGCGGCGTCGATCGTAGCACCGATTACGGCACCGACAACCGCGCCGACAGCGTCACTGGCGTCTCCGCCACCCGCGGCATTGGCAGGGCAGCCGTCGTGGACAGCGCCGAGACGATCGTGAGGCCACTGGCGATCGAGCCCGTGCCGGACGCCGAGTGCGAGCTGGTCAGCAGCGGCGACACGGCGTTCGACTTCGCGAAGGCTTGCGGCCTCTCGGTTAGGAACGCGCCGGTGGAGGGCGGCCTTGTCGCTCACGTTACGAAGGTGAGGCAGCGGGTCAAGGCCTGGGGTGCCTATGGCACGCGCCCGAGCGACGGGGCTGGCAGCTACGGACGCAGCGGCACCAACTGCAGCTACGCCGGCCGCGGCCCCGATAGCTGCGACGACGGTTGCGCTGACCGCCTTGCCTACAGGTGCGCCGACGGCTATGCCTGCGGCGCTGACGGCCGAGCTGACCGCGGCACAGTGGGCAGCCGCGACGACATCGGCAGTTGCGACGGCATCGGCAGGGACAGTGGCGCAGCCTGCGGCGCGGACAGCCGCGCCGACTGCGGTGCCGACGGCTGCGCCCACCACGGCGCCGACTGCCGCGCCGACCGCGAGCCCTACGAGGGCACCAGCGGGCTGATCGAATGGCCCGCCGACAGGCTCACCGGCTGCGGCACCGACCGCGGCGCCAATGGCTGCGGTCACGGTGTCTGCGGCACCGGCGGCCGCGCCGACGGCTACCTCGACAGCCACGCCGACGACAGCCTCGTTAGTTACGCCGACAATGGCACCGACCGCTGCACCGACCACGGCGCTGACCGCGGCGCCGACGGCGGCGCCTACGAGGCAACCCTCAAGGGCGTGCCCGTGGGGGGCGTCTCCGGCGGCGGGCGCGGCCGCGCCGACCGCGGCACTTACGGTGGCACTGACGGCCACCCCGCCAGCGGCGTTAACCGCTGCGCTGGCTGCGGCACCGACCGCCGCGCAGACTGCGGCACCAGCAGGCACGCCGACAGCATCCTCGACGGGGGCGCCGACAGCGGCCCCTACTGCAGCGCTGATTTCGGTACCGCCCGCGGCGCCGACAGCGGCGCTGGCGCGGTGAACTTGAAGGGCGCGCTCGTGGAGGGCTCCTCGGATGACTGGCATGTTCTGGACAGCGGCCCAAAGGCTACCGAGGAGATCGAGGCGGCGCTGGCGGGTCATAAGACGGCTGGTACGCCGACGGCTGCATCGACGGCCTCGCTGACAGCTGCGCCGACCACGGCACCGACAGCTGCAATGACAGATGCGCCGACAACTGTACCAGCCGAGGCGCCAACGGCGGCGCCGACAGCGGCGCTGGCGTCTGCGCTGGCGGCCTCCAGGCAGCCCAGACCTCACGGGCGGCGCGCGCCGGAGGCAGCTGCCACCGCGGCCCCGGGGGGCGCCACCGTACTCGCACCGGCCGGGGGCGCCTCAGGGGCGGGTGTTGGCCCACCCATGTGCGACGGACGGCGCGCGCCAGCGGCGGCTGCGGCCGCGGCCCCGAGGGATGCCCGCCCGTCCTCGCCCGCCAGGGGCGCCCGGCGAGCGCCAGCCTCCGGGTCAGCAACGGTCCCGCCCATGTGGGACGGGCGTCTCGCGCCAGTGGCGGTGGCTACCGCGGCCTCGGGGGATGTGGCACTGACAGCCACGGCGACCTCGGCGACAACGGGGGCATCGACTAGCTCTCCGACGGGTTTCCCGACTCCGGCTCCGACTGCGGCGCCGCCAGCTACGCCGACCGCCATGCCGGCTGCAGCATCGACAGCCGCGCCAATTGCGGCACCGACAACGGCGCCAATTGCGGCACCGACGGCGGCAGCGGTTGCGGTACTGACAGCTGAGCCGACGGTGGCCCCGACCGCCTCACCGGCTGCGGCTACGGTGGCCGCGCCGACGACGTCGCCGACAGCAGCGCCGACCAGTGCACCGACCGCGGCGCCGACAGCCACTCCGACAGCCGCGCTGGCGGCGGCGCCGACGGCCGCGCCGATAGCGTCGCCGACGGCAGCTCTGGCCGCTGTGCCGACCGCGGCGCTGACCGCTGTGCCGCCGGCCGCGCCGTCTACGGCACCGACCGCTGCTCCGGCTGCGGCTCGGGCCGCCCCGTCTACAGCGGCGGCGGCGGCTGCGCCGGCTTCGTCGCCTACGGCTTCGCCGATTGCTGCACCAACGGCAGCGCCGATGGGTCGTCTGTCTGTTGCCCTGGCCGCGGCACAGACAACCGCCTGGACAGCTTCGACGACGGTTGCACTAGCCGCTGCACCTGCAGATGCACGGTTCGGTTCGCCGATGGCTGAACTGGTCACGATACCGACGGCTACCCCGACAGCGGCGCCGACGGTCGCGCCGACATCGGCGTCGACAGCGGCTCTGGCCGCCACGGCGACCACGGTGCTGACAGCGGCGGCGACTGGCGCGCCGACGAAGGGCGCGACGACGGGGGCGAGCGGATCGACCTACGTTGGCATGTTCGCCGGCAGCACTGGCATCGAGGGCCGCGCGCTGTCCGCCACAGAGGAACCGCCCGACGACGAGGATTAGAAGGAGGAGGACCGGGGGGGAGCGACGGGCTGCTCGGGCCACGCGGCGTCCATTGGGCTGCAGCCAGCTTGCACCTCCAGCTCGCGCGTGCGCCTTCGCATGCGCGCGCCCGTCCTTTGCGTGTACTGAGTCGCGTCCTGCGCGACGCGCGCGTCTAGCGCCTTTCGCGTGCGCGATTCCGCGCTGGCGGGCCGGCGACGCGCGGCCCTGGGGAGCGTTTAGCCCCCCCCCCCCCCGCCTGGGCGAGGCCGTGGGGGCCAGTTCGGGCGCGCGTTGCACGCCGCCGGCGGGGCGCTGCCCAGCCGGGGCGGCCTGGCGCCCGCTCCAGGAAGGCCTCGGGCTTGCAGGCCAGTGGTCGCGCGCGCCGGGCTCCTTTCGCCCGCGCGCGGCTGCGTTCTTTTGGTTTTGGCCGTGCGGCAGCAGGGCGTGCCAGAACGCGCGCGCGCCACTGTGCGCGTGCGCGGGCGGCGCGGCGTCCCGCCGGACCCGCGCCATCAGGGTGGTGCGCGTGGCCGCTTTGCCATTGAAAGATTTCATCATTGTCCTTCTCCCGTCCTCGTCCTCCTTCCTCCTCCTCTTCCTCCTTCTCCGTTTAGTGCGCGCGTGCCTTCGCTTAACTTGTATAGTCTGTTTTGTGGGTAGACTGCAGGTTAAGCGTAGGGGAGCGGGGGCTTTGCCTTTGCCATTTTGGGTCCGTAGTCGTTGGCTCGAGATCGAGCCAGGACTCGTGGGCCCACCCACCCCGCTTTGCTCCCTGTGTACCCAGCTCCGCTCGGCCGTCGGGCCGTGCGGCAGCAGGGCGTGCCAGAACGCGCGCGCGCCACTGTGCGCGTGCGCGGGCGGCGCGGCGTCCCGCCGGACCCGCGCCATCAGGGTGGTGCGCGTGGCCGCTTTGCCATTGAAAGATTTCATCATTGTCCTTCTCCCGTCCTCGTCCTCCTTCCTCCTCCTCTTCCTCCTTCTCCGTTTAGTGCGCGCGTGCCTTCGCTTAACGGGGTGTTTTGCACTCGGTCTGCATTGCATCTGGAATTCACTACATTGCACTCCTCCGGTATCGTTATCCATTGCATTGCATTGTTTCTTGTTCATTGGTGTCCATTGCATTGCACTGCAATGTGTTATGCACATCATCTTTGCAAGTTGTTGTATGTTGCATTGTATTGTCCGATGCCTTGTCGTTGAACGTTTTTGTGTCAGAAAACCCTTCACTGGAGTCGCGCCAGGTTCATTCAATAGTGCCGAATCCAAGGAGGCTGTGATTGTTTCGTTGATTGTGGGCCCCCTGTCAATGGAACGCCCTGTGCGGGTCTCTACGTATCCCTGGCGTCGTGATGTAGGTAAGCGCGGCTGCGTCCTGCAGGGTGGAGATCAGTTTGGCCAGCAAGCCAGGGCCGAAATCGACCGCGAGTTGACCAGCATCTGCTTCTCCAACTTACCTTGGTCTTTCTCGAGGGAGGAAAACCACCCCGACCCCGACAAGTGGCGTTTTCGAGACGGCCCTGGGCGTTTACTGAACAGCCTTGCCCTTTTCGATTCCTTCCTGGAGTGCGTTTACTAAATGGCTTCGCTTGTCGGGGTGCTCATTCTGGGGGTGGATTTTCTGCATTCTATTTTCTACTCCACGTGCTCTCCCGTCGCCCTCTCCCTCGCCAGGTTCCAGTTTATTCAGGAACTGATTATCGACAAGGCCGTGCCGCATGGTCCGCGAGATCTGGTCTGGCAATTCCGGTCCACGATATGGCACAAGGAGGGGGCAGAGTTTGGAGTGGCACGAGTGGCGGGGAGGGAGGGATTTTATTTCAGGAGACGTTGGAGGAGGAGGAAGAGGAGGAGGAGGAAGAGGAGGAGGAGGAGGTGGGAGGAGGATGAGGAGGAGGAGCAGGAGGATGAGGAGGACGAGTACAATGAGGAGGGGCAGGAGGAGGAGGGGCAGGAGGAGGAGGAGGTTGTACACGATGAGCGGTTGAACCAACGATAATGCAGAGTTAAGCTTTCAAACTTCTGCACGGCGCTCTCGTCGATTGCTGCTCGGTGCGCCCTCAGGGTTGGAAGTGCCTCCGCCCGGCCCTTCTATCCAGCGACATCTGGAGCAAGACGTTTCCATTGGGTCGCGACGCCCCTGTTGCGTGCACATTATGCAGATCCCGATATGAAGTTGTTCTCTAGAAGCGTTCTTATAGTTCATAGTTCAGGCTTTTTTTGCCCAGCAGGGGCCCCGTTGGGCCGTGTGTCCCGCGCTGGCGTAGTGATCCCAAGCTGGCGCAACGTTTTACGTTGCCAGCCCTGTTGGTGGGAGGCTTTCTCCGACGCACGTCGCAATGTCATCGCGAAGAGCTCACCTCGAGCGAAGCGACTCGCTCCTGGCGCGTGGCTGGCAGCTGGTTCGCTTCGAGCGCACCCGCCCGATCCTGGTGAACCTCATGGTGCCGGTCAGCACTGTTGCTGGGAAGTTTACTTGAGCGTACCCGCTAGCTCTTGCCGCACGTCGCTTTGTCGGCGTTGTCGGCACTCCCGTCCGCTCCCTGCCCACACCGGGCTGCCAGGATGGTTGCCAACAGGCTCACTTCGAGGGAACCCGTTCGCGGGCACGGTGCAGTGGAGTTGCCAAACGTGTTGGCAGGAAGACATTTCTGGGCGCACCCGCTCGCTCCAGGTCCACATCACGTTGCCAGCGTGGTTGCAAGGAGGATACACTGAGCTCATTTCCAGTGTCATGTTCCAGTGTGCGGTTGTGTGTGTGCGATCGTGTGTGTATTTGTATGTGTGTTGTGCGTGTGTGTGTATATATGTGTGTGTGCGCGCGCGTGTGTGTGTGTGTATGTGCGTGTGTGTGTGTGTGTATGTGCGTGTTTGTGTGTGTGCTTGTGCATTTGTGTGTGTGTGCGTGTGTGCGTGTGTGTGTGTGTGTGTGTGTGTGTGTGTGTGTGTGTGTGTGTGTGTGTGTGTGTGTGTGTGTGTGTGTGTGTGTGTGTGTGTGTGCGTGCGTGCGTGCGTGCGTGCGTGCGTGCGTGCGTGCGTGCGTGCGTGCGTGCGTGCGTGTGTGGGAGAAAGAGGAAGAGAAAGAGAGAGAGAGAGAGAGATAGATAATGAGAGAGAGAGTGTGTGCGGGTGGGCTTCTTTGGGTCGGCATGGAGTGCGCCTTGCATGTACAGGGGTACGCGCATTGAGCTCCCATTGAGTTTATCACGCGAGCTCCTGGGCGGATCTCGCCCATGCATTGATTCGTGCAACACGGATCCCACATTCCCTCGAGTCGCGCTATTGATGCCCGACCTCTCCGCCGAGCCTCCCCGCTACCGTTTTGGTTCTGGCAGGGGTGTCGGTCCCTTGGCGCGCTGGTACTGAAATATGTATCCTGATGATACCTCGATGCCGGCCGAAGTCCATCAGAGTTGGTGGTAGTCGAGCTGGCATTACTTCACGGGCGGGGCGCCAATTCCTCCGACGCAGCGGTGTGCGTGTTTGTTCAGGGACGGACATTGCATAAGACACGAGCCCAACTGGTGGCAACACCGGCGGTTGTGAGAAGGAGATCGAGTTCGGAGTACAGACTGCAGACGTTTGCAGCCAGGCGGTGCACCGTGGGCGACGAGGAAGGAAGGATGGATAGCAGAGGAACGAGTACGTGGCCTCATTTGGGGGCCGTGGAGCTGGAACCCATGCGAGTACCAGCAGGTACGTTCCGCCGCCCAGCATCAAGGACTTTTGCATCGAGAAGTTGCGACGCTACGAGCGCCGCTTGAGGACTAGGTCAAAAGTGTCAATCGGCCTAGCGGAGGACGGTGGAGGCCTCCACGCGCATTGCCACATCCTGGACGGAGGCGACGACCAGGTCCAGAGCACAGTGGGGGGATTGGATTCAGAAGACCACAAGTGCACGGACGGCACCGAAACCACCATCAAACCTTTGGACGCGGAGCTCCTGCCCAAGGCGGCGCGCGAGCAACACATGGAGCTCGAGCGCACCATCTTCGGCCCCGAGCAGAAGAAGAAGAACGAGACCTTGCAGCAACAGCCGCTGAATGTCAAGAGTGCTTTCGACAGGCATCGGAGGGTGCAGGTCACTCTGGGCGATGTCCAGGGCCATGTCCTCCCGCACCAGGCGAAACGGGGCCACGCGGAACGCATGGCGTTGATCTTGCAGACGTCGGGCTAATCTTACGAGGATGCAAGGACGGCGACGCACGGCCTCCGCAACGATCGCCCCCAGGAGAAGACGGCGAACGGCTACCAGGGTAGCCGCGGGGGGAGCAGACCAGCCAGAGCGGGGGGGCGGGTGTGTGTGTGTGTGTGCGCGTGCGTGCGTGCGTGCGTGCGTGCGTGCGTGCGTGCGTGCGTGCGTGCGTGCGTGCGTGCGTGCGTGCGTGCGTGCGTGTGCGTGTGCGTGGTGTGTGTGTGTGTGTGTGTGTGTGTGTGTGTGTGTGTGTGTGTGTGTGTGTGTGTGTGTGTGTGTGTGTGTGTGTGTGTGTGTGTGTGTGTGCGTGCGTGCGTGCGTGCGTGCGTGCGTGCGTGCGTGCGTGCGTGCGTGCGTGCGTGCGTGCGTGCGTGCGTGCGTGCGTGCGTGCGCGCGTGTGCGTGAGTGCGTGCGTGCGTGCGTGCGTGCGTTTTGTGTGCGCGTGTGTGTGTATGTGTGTGCGTGTGTGTTTGCGTGTGTGCGTGCGTGTGTGGGTGTGTCTGTGTGTCGTGTGTGTGTGTGCGCGCGTGTGTGTGTGCGTGTTTGTGTGTGTGCGTGTGTGTGCGTGCTGGGGAGGGATTGCGTGTGTGCGTGTGCGCGTGTGTGCGCGCGTGTGTGTGTGTGTGTGTATGCGCGCGTGCGTGAGTGCGTGCGTGCGTGTGCGTGTGTGCTTGTGCATTCGTGTGTGTGCGCATGCGTGCGTGTGCGCGCGTGCGTGCGCGCGTCTGCGCGAGAGAAAGATGAAGAGAAAGAGAGAGAGAGAGAGAGAGAGAGAGAGAGCGAGAGAGAGAGAGAGAGAGAAAAACAAAAAAAAATAATGAGAGAGAGGGAGAAAGAGAGAGAGAGAGAGAGACAGAGAGAGAGGACACGAGAGAGAGAGAGAGAGAGAGTGTGCGTGTGTGCGGGTGGGGTTCTTTGGGTCAGCATGGAGCGCGCCTTGCACGCGCAGCGGTACGCGCATTGAGTTCCCATTGAGTTTATCGCGCGAGCTCCCGGGCGGATCTCGCCCATGCACTGATTCGTGCAACACGGATCCCACATTCCCTCGAGTCGCGCTATTGATGCCCGACCTCTCCGCCGAGCCTCCCCGCTACCGTTTTGGTTATGGCAGGGGTGTCGGCCCCGCGGATGCATCAGAGTTTGATGCGCGCGCTGGTATTGACATGTGTATCCTGATGATACTTCGATGCCGGCCGAAGTCCACCAGAGTCGGCGGTGGTGGAGCTGGCATTAGTTCCTGGGCGGGGCGCCAACTCGCCCGACGCAGCGGCGCGCGTGTGTTCAGGGACAGACATTGCAGACCACCCGAGCCCAATTGGTGGCAACACCGGCGGTTGTGGGAAGGAGATCGAGTTCGGAGTGCAGATTGCAGACGCTTGCAGCCAGGCGGTGCACCGCGGGCGACGAGGGCGGAAGGATGGATAGCAGAAAGACGAGTACGTGGCCTGATTTGGAGGCCGTGGAGCTGGAGCCCATGCGAGCACCAGCAGGCGCGTTCCGCCGCCCAGCTTCAAAGACTTTTTGCATCGAGGAGTTGCGACGCGACGCGCGCCGCTTGGCGACTAGGTCGAAAGTGGCAACCGGCCTAGCGGAGGACGATGGAGGCCTCCACGCGCATTGCCACATCCTGGACGGAGGCGGCGACCAGGTCCAGAGCAAAGCGGGGGGATTGGACTCAGAAGACCACAAGTGCACGGACGGCGCCGAAACCACCATCAAGGCTTTGGAGGCGGAGCTCCTGCCCAAGGCGGTGCGCGAGCAATGCGCGGAGCTCGGGCGCGCCATCCTCGACCCCGAGCAGAAGAAAAATAATGGGACCTTGCAGCAACAGCCGCTGAATGTCAAGAATGCTTTCGACGGGCATCAGAAGTTCTCAGAAGGTGCAGGTCACTCTGGGCGACGTCCAGGGCCATGTCCACCCTCCCGCGCCAGGCGAGACGGGGCCACGCGGAACGCATGGCGTTGATCTTGCAGACGTCGGGCTAATCTTACGAGGATGCAAGGGCGGTGACGCACGGCCTCCGCAATGATCGCCCCCAGGAGGCGACGGCGAAGGGCTTCCGGGGCAGCCGCGGGGGGAGCAGACCGGCCAAAGCGGGGGCGCGTGGGCGCGCGCGTGCGCGCGTGCGAAAGTGCGTATCTGCGTGCGAGACAGTGCGCGCTTGCATGCGTGCTTGCATGCGTGCGCGTGCGCGCGCGCGTGCGTGCGCGAATGCTGTGTGTATATGTGTGTGTGGGGTGGGGTGGAGGGGGGTGGTGGTGGGGGGGGGGGGCGTGTGCGTGTGTGTGTGTGTGTGAGAGTGTGTGTGTGTGTGTGTGCGTGTGTGTGCGTGTGCGTGCGTGCGTGCGTGCGTGCGTGCGTGCGTGCGTGCGTGCGTGCGTGTGCGCGCGCGTGCGTGTGCGCGTGTTTGTGCGTTCGTGTGTGTGGGTGCGTGTATGTGCGTGTGTGTTTGCGCGTGTGCGTGCGTGTGTGGGTGCGTGTGTTTTGTGTGCGCGCGTGCGTGAGTGCGTGTGTGTGTGCATGTGTGTGCGCGTGTTGGGGAGGGGTTGCGTGCGTGCGCGCGCGTGTGTTT